CAGCCGCGGCAGGAGCACCGGGATGGAACACGCCGCGGACCTGCGACATGATGGGGTCTCTCACGTAGGAAGCGCGCAGACCGATAAAGACATACCACGCTGCACTCGTGGTCCACAGCAGAGAGCTGGCCTGGAAGAGGGGCAACCGGGACTAGAACCCGGTGTGCCAGTGCCGCAAGGCGGAGGATTAGCCTAGTGAGCCGCGGCGCCAGCCTCTGCCTTTTTTTTTTTTTTTTTAAAGACATATCTTTTTAAAAAGATTTATTTATTTGAAAGGCAGAGTTACAAAGAGAGAGAGAGGAGAGAGAGCTCCATTTCCATCTGCTATTTACTTCCCAAATGGCCACAACAGCCAGGGCTGGGCCAGGCTGAAGCCAGGATCCCAAAATTCCACTTGGGTCTCCCGCATGGGTGGGAGGGCCCCAAGCCTCTGGGCCATGCTCAGCTGCTTTCCCAGGTGCATTAGCAGGGAGCTGGATTGGAATCGAAGCAGCCGGGACTTGAACTGGTGCCCATACGGGATGTCCATGTTGCAGCCCTGGCCTTAACCGGCTGTGCTACAACAGTGGCCCCATCTCTTTTTTATGGTGGTAGATACCAAAACACAACGTGGAGGGGTCCATCGGAGGGGTCCATCCGGCCACCATCACCTCCATCTGCCCACAGAACTCCCCGTAAACTGCGTCCCCACGCTCCCCTTCCCGGCCCCTGCCTCTGCGTCAGACTCGGGGTTTTTCCTGCGAGTGGAGCCCTGCAGCCTTTGCCGTTCGTGTGTGGTTGAGTTTCCCTCGCATAGCGTCTTCAAGCTTCAGCCGTGTGTCCAGAGTCCCCGTCTGTCTTCCTGCCTGGGTGCTGTTCCGCTCCGTGTGCACCTGGTCTTGTTTCTCCCTGGCACTCCTGCCTGGGTGATGTTTCTCATTGTCTGCTTCCCCGTCTTCACCTGGCTTCCTCAGCTGCCGGCAGTCTGTGCTTCTGGGTCTCTCTCTCTCTCTCTCTCTCTCTTTCTCTCCGGGTCTACCATTTCTCCGAGCCCCCTTTCACACCACGTGGCCATCCCTCCCTTTATGTCATTATTCACCAAATATTCAGCCCATCTAGCAGTCACCAAATGCTGCCTGTGGCCTTGGGGGAGCAGAGACGGGCAGGCTCCATGATCATGACCTGCCGAAGCTCACCTGCTGGTCCACTTTCCCCTCCATCCGTCCCCCATCTCAGCCAGCTTGGCGGGGGCACAGGTGTGCCTGCATCCCATACCCAAGTGCTGGTTCAGTCCCTGCTACTCCCCGTCCACCCTAACGCACCTGGGAGGCAGCAGACAATGGCCCAAGTGTGTGGGTCCCTTCCTCCCACGCGGGAGACCTGCGTGGCATTCCAGGCTCCTGGCTTTGGTCTGGCCCAGCCCTGGCTGTTGTGAGCATTTGGGGAGTGAAGTAGAAGATGGAAGATCTCTGTCTGTCTGTCTCTTCATCTTTATGTCATGCCACCTTCCAAAAATTTAAATATTTTTCTACACTCCCACCTCCGGCTCACCCTTCCCAGCCCTCTCCTCACCATTCCTTCTCCACCATGGAACTGGCTCCGTGTGCGCACATTTCTGTTTTTTTTTTTTTTTAATTATTTATTTCTTTGAGAGGTAGAGTTACAAACAGAGAGAGGGAGAGACATAGAGAGGTCTTCCGTCCGCTGTTTCACTCCCCAGATGGCCACAATGGCCGGAGCTGGACCGATCCAAAGCCAGGAGCCTCTTCCGGGTCTCTTGCTCGGGTGCAGGGTCCCAAGCACTTGGGCCATCTTCTACTGCTTTCCCAGGCCATAGCAGAGAGCTGGATTGGAAGAGGCAGCCGAGACATGAACCAGCACCCATCTGGGATGCCGGTGCTGCAGGCACAGGCTTAGCCCACTGTGCCACAGCGCCGGCTCCTTGATCTCGTCTTAATTTCAAAAATGATACATGTGGCCGGCTCCATGGCTCACTTGGCCAATCCTCTGCCTGCGGCACTGGCACCCTGAGTTCTAGTCCCGGTTGGGGCACTGGATTCTGTCCCGGTTGCCCCTCTTCCAGTCCAGCTCTCTGCTATGGCCCGGGAAGGCAGTGGAGGATGGCCCAAGTGCTTGGGCCCTGCACCCGCATGGGAGACCAGGAGGAAGCACCTAGCTCCTGGCTTTGGATCGGTGCAGTGCGCCAGTCATAGTGACCATTTGGGGGATGAACCAATGGAAAAAGGAAGACCTTCGTCTCTGTCTCTCTCTCTCTCACTGTCTAACTCTGTCTGTCAAAA